TGCATGAGGAGAAACCCGTGCTTCACCAGCCTGGCTTAGCCTCCGAGCATCATCGATCGGGATCCACCACTGATGCACAAAAAGAGGATTAGAGGGAGCCTTTTGTACCATTTGGAGTCCACTTTAATGACGTCAAACAAATACCACATGTACACATCAAGTCTCTGCCCATCAGATTTATGGGACAGAGTGAAGAGAGTAAAAAAGAATGTTTTACTTTTATGTCAGGGTTTAGGTCAGTCTCGTCAGAGTGTACACTCGTCATAGGTGCAGTAAATTTTTCTGTCACAGTCAAACTTGAAGCCCCTTGAGAATATACATACCGCCCACTCATTTTTTGATTTGGAAAAGGTTTTTCTTGAATTACTGAATGAGTAGCTCCGGAGTCTACTAAAAACGCCAATTCTTTCCCTTCCACAATTACTCTTGTAGTTGGCATATCCTTGTATGCATCTGATCAAAACATAGCATACGTGAGTGGTGGTGGTGGTGTGGATGTATTCTGTTGCTGCTCTAAGTGAGAAATGATGCTAAGCAAAACAGCATGTTGTTCTGCAGTGTGCGTGCCACGAAGTAGGTCTTCATTGCAGCATTGTGTGTGTGTGTGTGTGTGTGTGCGTGCGAGGAAGCAGGTCTTCATTGCAGCATTGTGTGTGTGTGTGTTTCACTTCCCTGTTTTGGAGAGGCAGCAGCAGTCATCCCTTCACACGTGCAATCTCCATCCCACACACACCGTCAGTCTGAAGTGCCCAATTGTTGACCCCCTCTGTCAGTCCCGGAGTGGCGCTGTCGTCCACGTGGCTGACGTACCAGGTTTGAACGGTAGGGGCAGTCTTTGTACCAATGTCCTGTTTTGCCACAGAGGAAGCGTTCATCGGGTTGCACTTCTCGTGGGGCCCCTCCTTGAAAACGCCCTCTTCTCCCATGATTTATTCCATACGCTCGTCCTCTCTGTTGGTCCCTCCCATAAGATTTTCCGGATGGGTGGGGGTCTCGTCCTCCTTCTGCACCCAGTGTCAACTGTTTTACGGCTTGGAGCATCGCAAGCTGGGCTTTCTCCCCAGTCTGCTTGCTGCGTTTGTCTTGACACATTTGGTTTTCCACATGCATTTTATAGTTGTGTCGTGCATGTTTTACCACTTCTGTGAGCCTTGCATCTTCTAGACCCACGACAGAGTGTTCAGTGCCAGTTTTGACGTCTGGCAGAAGCCCGTTCATGAAGGCGTTCTTAAGATGAGTTTCCCACACACACATGTTGGTTATGTCTGTGGGCTCCTCGAGGCCGCTGTGAATCTGAAAGGCAGCCACAAGACGCTGATAGTAAAATGTTACATCTTCGGCTTTACCTTGTTTTGTGCTGTTGATGAGTGCCATGTTGACTGGGAAGGCCGCAACCACAGCAGCACAGATGGCTGTTATGTCTTTGCATAACGTCAGGAACTCTTTTCCAAAAGCCACGCCATTTTTTATGGTGGGCAGATGGGAGGCAGGTAGTCCATCCTGTGGCCCTGGAACTTGAAACATGGGGGCTTGAATATAAGACCCATCCATGGTGGTGTTAGGACTAAGAAAATCCACAATTCTGCCGGCTGTGCCCCTCCAGGGGGATGGGTCGTGGATTGACCATGCAGTCCGGGGTGGACTGAGCTGTGGGGTCAGGTCTGAATGGGTTGAGGGTTGAGCATGATTTAACGTCTGCACCTCCCTGGTCTCCCAGCCGGGTTTGACTGCGTGTTACAGGTCTGCCAACCGTAGGATCGGGGTTGTACGGTGGTGGTGATTGTTGGACTGGAGGTGGTGCAGGAATTTGACAACACGTGTTCAGGAGAGGACCGCCTGCCCCTGTCAGGGATGGATACAATGGAGAAGACACACATGGATAATTCTGTGTTTCAATGTCAGGTTTTTCAGTTTTTAAACACGTCATTTTCTTCATCATTCGTTTTCTCTCCCTGCATTCACGTTCCATTTCCCATTGTGCCAGACATGTCTGGTTTCTCTCTACTACTTCCAAGTCTTTAACTTTATCTTTTTACCACTTTTAATTTTTTTTTACTTTCTTCCAAATCCCCTCTTAACCTTTTAAGTTTAGCGGCACTCAACGAGCCGTTTTCTGGAAACCCAAACTCTTTTGTCCAGTATGGGAGACACTCTGTACATGTTTTCCTGTATTTCTGCTGCATCATTGCCACAATCGGACCCGACGTTCCGTGTGTTTTGCGGACTGGCCACCCATCTTTTACTGGTGGACCCTACCGGTTTACTTATTACAATACAGTCGTCACCGTAAGGCTTAGTTTCTTTACTCAAGGAAAAACTTTGCAAAAACCCCACTCAAAACTCACGCTTCGATTTTGCCACGATCTTGTTCTAAAGGTAATTCAGTAGAACTCACGTTTGGTTAACAAAAACAGTGATATCGTTTTACCTGCTTCAGCATAAAATTCACGTACGCTATTTCCACGATTTTATTCCACAGGTGGAATTCACATTTGATCAATAGCAACGGTCTTATTTTACCCGGGTAGTCAAGCGATCTGCGTTACGATCTCGGAGAATTTGTTCCGAGTGAAATCTTTACCGTAAGCAATCCTGTCTTCTACTTGTAGTCTAGCGATGTTGTTAAAAAAAAATAATGATAATAATTGTATTCCCCAGACTATAACAACCACTTGATCAGTCATCCGTCTCCGTTATGTTCAACTCTTACTCTTACTTTATAATTGGAATTTCAACTTCTTACCCGAGTTTGTAGAAATTAATTCTTTTTCGCTGGATACACGTGACGTCGATCAGGACTCCTCTGGTTTCCGCCGGTCCTTTCTCTCTTGTCTAAGGAGGTATGAGGCAGGATCATCAGCTGGTGATCCTGGAAAAGGCCTTTTCCCCGGACGGTCCCCTGGAGCCCGACGGACGGTCAGTGAATCCTGTTCGTGACGCCAAATTGTTGTGGAACATTTCAATAAAAGCTCGGTAGAAGAGAATGATTTGTCTGATAAAACAGAGTCTTGATGAATGATCAAAGTTGCAAAAAGTCCATTTATTGCTTGCAAGCAGGAGGTCAAATACACAGGCACGTATCACAGTGCTCTGTGGAGATGGCGTCTCCGAGCACTAAAGACGCTGAGTTTTTATACACATGTGAAGAACATTCTCCGTGCCAGCTACGAAAAGCTGCAAAGCAGGTTGAGATAAGAACCCAGGTGAAGCTGAAAGTAAAACTTGGATCCAGAACTTTCGTACCGAATAAGATATCAACCAAGGCCATGAAGAGGAGTCCTTTGCCGCTTCTATGAGATCGAGTCAACCGTCCTCCCTTCTCAGCGCACAGCTGCAAACTAACATTTTGTATCATGCTGCTCTTTGCACATCAGGGTCAAATACAGGACACTTGAGATACGGCTTTAGCACAAAACAATGTTATAACATATTTTTTACCATTACAGTATTTGTGTCGGGGGGTTGGTCAGTCTGTCAACAGTTTCAAATAGGGTTTTTGCCTTATTAGTGTTGTTGTTGATGATGTTGGAGAAGAATGTTTCCCTAGCACTTTTTAAGTCTCAATTGTAGGCCCGGAGGCGCTCTTTATAGATGTCATGGTGAATGTGAAGTTCCGCCAGATTCGTTCAGCCTTCCTGCACTCTCTTCTCTGGGCTGTTACAACAGCAGCTTTTCTCCAGTGTGCTTACTAGAACTGGTTTTAACCGTAACAGGTGCAATGTCATCTATAACATTCAAAATTTTGGAATTAAAGTTGTTTTCAAGATTATCAGCATGACATGTGATTAGAGGTGGTAACGAGAAGATGACATTTTTAAAGAGTACATTATTATGTTCATTGATGTACCGTTTTTTGACAGTATTTGAATCTGATTGTGTGTCAGGAATGAAAGAAATATTAAAGAAAACACAGAAGTGGTCAGACAATGAGGGATCAGTCACAAAAACATCCGAAACAATGAGACCTTTTGTGATAATCAGGTCCAGGGTGTGTCCCTTACAATGAGTAGCCTCTTTCACATGTTGAGACAGTTCAAATGTGTCTAAAATAGTCAAAAGTTCTTTTGCACCCTTGTCATTCAAATCGTCAGTATGAAAATTAAAGTCACCAGTTACTAGACGGTCAAAGTCGGTAGAAATGCTAGACAATAATTCAGTAAAATCATCGAAAAAATGTGCAGAATATTTAGGTGGTCTGTAAATAATTACCAGGAGAACTCTGGGAGAACCTTTCAATACAACACAAAGATATTTAAATGATGGAAAATCACTAAGTGACATCTGTTTCCCCTGAAATATATTTTTAAATATAGCAGCAACCCCTCCACCTGTTTTTCCAGATCTACATACATCAATAAAGTTATAGTTGGGGGGTGCTGCCTCAATCAGAATGCTTGCACTGTTATTTTGTTCTAGCCATGTTTCAGTTAAAAACATAAAATCAAGTTTAGAAGTGGTAATAAAATCATTGACTAAAAACGATTTGTTATTAAGAGACCTAACATTAAGCAGAGCCATCCTGATGGTGTTATTCACAGGCTTTGGGGTTGACTTTGAGCTGGAGAGAATAGGAATGAGATTTGTTAGATTAGCAGTGTGTCCAAGTTTCGCAATGTTCACTCTCTTGGTGGTCACAGCAGGAATGCAGAAGGTGCCATTTTGACGTAGGCGACCTTGGGTCCAGCTGATAATGCGGTCTACTGCTGAACCCTTTTCTATCTCAGTAATATTCGGGGCTGCTGTCAGGGAGGAGGAGGGGGTGGGCCTAAGGGGGGGGGGAGTGAGCAGCGTCACAGCTGGGATGGATTTGTGGAGGTGGAGGTGGAGCACGTCTTCGTAGAGGTGGGGGGGCAGATCGGCGTAAGATGGCGTCACCGCTGAGATGAGCTGGTGCAGGTGGACGCTGGGGGGGAGGGCGCTGAGGTCCCATCTAAGGGAGTAAAAAGTAGGAGTAGGGCCGGGGGTAAGTGGGTGTGAGTCTTGGAACTGCAAGGGGGAGGAGGGGGGAGAAAGGTTTACTGAAGGGAGGGAGAAAGAGGGAGACGTGGACCTGGATGGGGGCTCTGGGGGGGGGGAGGGATCCTCACACGTAATGGAAGGAGGGTTAGAGGGGGATGGCAATGGCGGTCCTCCTTCGCCGTTTCTGATAAGCTGTGTTTTCTCTTCCTTCCTACTTGTGTGTCCACAGGGAAACTGGAGGCCAGGATGTCTCCATCCTAACACACACACACACACACACACACACACACACACACACACACACACACACACACACACACACACAAGAAACAGAGAAATAAGCAGATTAAGAGAAACATCTCCCATGTTCCCTTACATCTAGATTTCTTGATGTAATTGAAATAATCTGAATAAATTACGCCAGTAAACAAACAAAGAAACCACCCAACCAACCTGTTACCGCTTGTTTATACTGAGGAATAACTGCTTTACTTAATTTGAGCATTGCATAAAGGGATACATGTATGCAAGTCATGTCAGTCTTTAGAAACTTATCTACAAGATAGAGGAACAACATGTGTGTAAAGGGGAACAGAGAGTGGCTTCGATAATGAAATGAAGAAATTGGGTAAGAGGATGATACAGTTTCAGTTTTGTTATTAAGTCTCCCTCAGAATACGCTGTCTATGCTCCCTCATCAGCACATCTTTAATATTGTTCCAGACTCAGAGATCAAGAAAATGCAAAGGATCAAGGTAAACTCTTTTATGAGGTTTATGATAACTTGTGGCCTAAATTGAGAGGAACAGTTATCTGATATCAGACCAATGGAACATGAATACCTGTATTTCATTAATGCATCGGCAGGTATGTGATTACTTCAGGACACAAGTCCTAGAGCAGCTTTTACATCCAAACATATGAATGCTGCACCCACCCGACCAATGTAGTTTCAAACGTATCTCAATGCAGCATAATGAAGCAGATGAGTGAGGCAGAACACGAGGGAGATGCAAATCTCTAAACTGTATAACCACAAGTGATTCATTTTCCCTCCGATATATGTTCCTAAAACATTCTTTTGTCAAGAGTACAGTACGGTTTTTTAAATCAAGGTTGATTTTACTGATTGTATTAAGGCTAATAAAGGCATTAATCAGGTTGTGCAGAACAAACAGATATAATAAGTGGACACCCATTGTTTGTGGACCAGTTATCGAGCAGCGTGTTTGGTGATTTCGCAATAGAACGCCATCTTGCAGAACGACGGACACCCATTTTGTTTGTTTTTCATATTTGCAGTGCAGAGCAGGAATATAAACATGTTGGATGCAGTTATAGTAACGGCAGCACCTGTATCACAATAACCTCTATTTGGGAGGGGGGGGGGTGACATATGTGCCTTAAGAACTTTACTACCACCACATATTTCAGCCATTTTGCATAGTATGATGGTCAAAAGCTTTATAGTTAGCGAACACTAGATATGTGGGACATTTACATATACGCCAATTCAGATGAGGACACAATGACTATGATAGTGAAACGTTCTTTCCTTAATCTCCCTCATTGTGGATGATAACCCGACGATCCCTTATTTTATCAACCTTGTGTAATGACGCAGTCCAACTCAGTCAGGGTCATCGGGTTGATCTCGTTGGTAGTCTTTAAAACAGATTCAGATCTAAAGGACAGACTGAAGTGACCACACACTCAGGGACAGCGTTCCCTTCCTACGGAGCACATCTTCCAAGCGGTGTACCTCTTTGTGTACTTTGGTCCGGCCTTTGATCTCGGCCACAATCATTCCCACGATGCCTCCTCTGAAGGTGGCAGCGAGGGAGAAGAACTTCTTGTTGGAGGTGATGTCCTGATACCATGAGTCTGGGTACCTGCAGGCAAAGGTCAGATTTAGCCTTTGAGCACAGGTATGTGTTGGAGTCTGTGGCCCAGTCCTGACAACGGTTGGCAAATAATAGGATCCTTTAATGGGCTTTAACGGCTGCCGTGTAACCGTCACTGGATTGGTATCAAGTGCATAAGCGCAAGTTACGCCAGTAACAGTAACTTTACGTACTTTGAGCATTGCATAAAGAAATACATGTATGCAAGATGACGGTCATCAAAAGCTTATCTACATGATACAGAAGCTAACCGGCTTGACTTTAATTATCATAGTTTACACAAAAGAGGAACTTTGAGTGAGCTCTGACCACTGGGTGTGTAAAGGGAAACAGAGGGTGGCTTCAATAATAAAATGAAGAAATTGGGTAAGAGAGTGATACATGGTTTTTGTACAACAAAACTAAATGCAAATAGTCTTGCAGAGATAAATTAAGTTAAACACCACTTAGAGTACAGTTTAGCACGTCCACACAAAACGCAAATATAAGTATTTTTATTTTAAGTTTAATTCTGACACCACATCACAATAATCGCCATTTAATCAACTCCCCAACAGATCTGTAATTTCACTCCCTCCATATTAGTGAGGGCAGAGCATGTGAAAAGGATCCGTTTATTGATCTATCTGGAATATTATTATTATTATTGTGCCAATTCTGACACACGAAAACTACTACTGTGTTTTCCACATCTCCAATGGGCAGCATTGTGAATAAAGTGCAATCAATAGTCATGCCATATTTATAATGTGTGGCCAGCGGTGCAGTGAATAGATGCACGTCACACCTGAAAGAAAGTTAGATTTATGCTGTTTGTTCATCCCAAAGAAGACAAACAACAAACATAATGCGTCAAACTCCAACAACTCGTGTTGTAATGGTGTAACGCACACTGAGTGGGACTCTTACTCGATTGGGAACCAATCACCGCAGAGCAGCTTGACATTCTCTATGTCATCGTGGCAGAGGAAGCGGAGCTGGACTTCACTGAGAGCTGTGGGAGACACCAAGTCACTCATTCACGCCTGCAGGGACGACACACAGCAAAGAAAGGTATGTCAGTGGTTGTTTTGATATTCCAATTTACTTCAGTTCATCAAGACTTTAACCCAATTTAAGTCCTCCGTTCGTTAGTAAGGAAGGCAATAAAAATCTATGCTTCTTTAAGAGTTCAAAGTAACCTGCCCCGGGTTTTGTGACAGATTATTTTCTCAAATGTCAAACATGATCACTGGTACCGTGTCATTTTCAATGTGCTGCAGGTACGTGCACAGACATTTTAGGGGGCAGGTGCTCAAACCAAAAAAAAAGGGCACCCATCGCCAAAATGATTTATCAAATTAAAAATAATAAATAAATAAAAACACAGAATATTTTCATCTTATATATTTTTGTTAACTATCTCAAATTATCAAATTGAATAAATAAATGAATATCAGGCAAAAACAAACAAAACGATATTGTATAACAAAATAATCAAAAATATTTCAACTTAAAAGTGATCAAAACTCTGCTCTGAGTAAACTAAAGGAGCTTTACAGGAGCTTCCTCCTTGGTGCCATCTCTTGGAAGATGTTTACCGTTTTCTTTTACGGTTGAAACATAAGCAGCATTAAAAGAATATACCACACTATACCACACCACACTGTCATGTAACTCAACTGTATTCCAATAATTGTATGTTAAACAAAAGTGAAATTGTCTAATTTTTGAACAGTAAAACAAACTTTTAATTCTCTCTCTTGTCTGCCTGCATCTCTCTCTCTCGCTTTATTAAATGACAAACGTCAGTAAACAGCTGGACAAGTTTTTTGTTTGTTTATTGTTTTAGGACCAGTTGCGACGTAATGTTTTCAGCAGCGCATGTTGTGGTTAATTTATCACCAAACACCGTCATTACCTGCTGCAGCCGTTTGGCGCTCAGCACTGCACGAGCGCCAAGTAGTGATGGGAAGTTCGGATCATTTTACCGACTCGGTTCTTTGAATCTTGTTCAGTAAAATGAACGAATCATTGGCCTGATGCTAGCGAGGATGGATGGGGACGTTAGCCCGATGCTAGCGTGGATCAGTGCTGAGCCTATGCAGGTCACGTGAAAAATGATCTAAAGATCTGTATCCTGAATCGTTCACCTCCCGACCGTGTCTTCGGGTCAATGTTTCGTTAATCTGCCAACCGAGCCTTCGGGTCAATGTTTCGTTCATCGTTCATTTTTCACGTGACCTGCATAGGCTCAGCACTGGTAGCGAGTAGATCAATGATTCGTTCATCGTTCATTTTTCTACCCCGAGACTCAAGCGGGAATGTTGCTTCCAACCACAGCGACAGAAACCCACCGGGACTTCGGTGCTGTGGGGATTTAATTCGAAGCGACGGAAGGATCGTTCACGGCTCAAGAGGTCCACGAAGCCTCAAGTAGAAACTCTGGAAAACTTTTGATTAACGTCTCCGATGCTCGTCTGTGTTCGCGTGAAGTGACGCGGACCCTGCAGACGTCCAACTATTGGTTTGTAGATTGTGTGCGGGATTCTCCGCACAGATTGTTGGTAAGTAGAGGACTTTGTGCGAGGGCTGCCACTAGTTGCGGCTTAATTAAGTTGGCGACGGCAGGTCGCCGCGCAGTGGCTGCGTGAAGCTTTCTCGTGCAGACAGTGTGGTGATGTTTAACGCCGTGTCTTTGGGTCAATGTTTCGTTCATCTGCAACCGAGAAGATCAATGATTCATTCATCGTTCATTTTTCACGTGGCCACGAGAAAATGAACAAATCTTTTTTTGAGAGGACTCGTTAGTCTCGAGTCCTTGTAAGGATTCGTTCAAAATGAACGAATCGTTCACGAACGACACATCACTAGCGCCAAGTGTGGGTGGGGGGGGAGGAGGAGGAGGGGCTTGTGAGCGCCGCGGAACACCTTGGGTTGAAATTCTCGCAATAGCTCAAAAAAATGCAGCGTCAGATATCAAAATTGTGGGGAATTGATGACAAAGAGATTAATTTTATTCTTAAATATTGATGAATGAAGAAAAAATTGACTCCAGCAGAAGGGGCCTTTTTCTCATCCAGGGCAAAAGGCAGGTGCTTGAGCACCTACAAGAAGCGGGTTTAGTGGAAACTCAGAGTTGGTTAACCCTGAGATGAGGGAATCTCTGGCTTGTCTGTTTCACAAAGGGTCGGTCACCATGGTAACTGAGCCGGTGAACCTCACCTGGTCGGGAGCAGGTTTCTTTTCAATAGTTTTCTTTCACAGTCTCCGCTCTGACAGCAGCCCAGCCAATCAAACAGCGCGCTTTCACTTCCTCATTCATTCAAGTACTCTGTATCAGGCGTATTTTAGCGCAGTTTAGACATATGAACAAAATAGGATCTGTTATGAAGCACTATTACTTTGCAGGGTGTTAAACACACGTCGGGAGAGAATATAGATTTATATATATTGTCATTAACAGATGTCTACTTGTTTGAACGGTATCGTTTGTCTTCACAGTCCATCAAATATGTACATGAAAAAATAGTCCTCACAAAGTCGCCGTGTATTCGTTTGCAGTGTAAAACAGCAGGTAAAGCGGTTTCTTTACAAGCACATAACATCTGCTCGCTAGCTAGCAAACACGGCTAACCTCAGTTACCGCTAGCTAACGTTCGGCCGCTAAGCTAACGTACCTCGGTTCAACAGCCGGGCCGGAGGAAAGTCGAGGAGGACGGTATTCTTGGTATCTATCGATACGGCCGCTACTCCGGACACAGCATGACCAAACACCAGTTTGTTCCGACTCTCAATGCCGTTTCATTACTGTGACAACGCCACACGGGGTGCTAAGCTAGCCAAAGCCCTCCCTGCTTAGATAACAGCTGTATGTTTTCTTCCTGTTTGTGGTTGCTGAACGTGTGACGTCACGCTGCGTTTCCTTCCGCTATGAAGGCGGCAGGTGTTAAACACATTAGCGCTTTATCGCCCCCTACTGGGGTAAAATAGTGCACAATGCCCCATTTCACAAATCATTTTCTTTGGTAATTACATTTTTTGTTTGAGACCAATAAATCATTAAAACTCCTAAACTAAAGGAAATGTTTCTACTCACCTCTGCCCATCTTTTGAAATATGATTGAATTTGTCAGCAGTGTGAAACATGACTTGTTCATCAAATTATAAATTGTTATCTTTTATTATTTTTATCCCAGCAGTGTGAATGGAAAATAAAAAAACATGTCTAATGATTGCTATATGAAATTGTTGTGAATTTATGTAATGATAAATTGTAAGTGATTATATTCAAAAACGTATCTACCACTGAAAAAGTAAATTAATGCGTATATAACTAAGTATCATTCAGAACACATGTGAGTGTCTTAAAACAACACACGTTGAATTACCAGGCTGTAGCTTAGTTCACCCCATTTTACTGGGAGATTGGGAGACCAATTGCTTTACAATTTACGCATGAAAACCGTGTAAACTTGGATCAATAGAGGAGACATGTTGCGTCACACATGACCTTGAATCAACTCCCTTTATCACCGTTCTGCCATCTGCTGCGTTCTCACCTCCTTCTCACTGATACTGTGAAAGCCGCAGGTAAAAATATCCTGTTCATCAAACTCTAGTTCAAGAGTCAAGTGTGCTTTGACCAGTGGAATTAACAGAGAGTAATCCTTAATAACCTTTCTACTTAAAAAGATAATATTGCTTTTAAGGCAGAAGTGTGGAAGTTAATTTTTCTTTCTAAATCCCGAAACAAAATCTATTATTAAATATTTTCTACAGAAGACGCTACACTTTCACACATCATACCAGTACACACTCTGAATATCACACAGTGACAATGTCACACTTTTTGTTCCTTTTCTGAAGCAGTTGTATGCACTAATTTTTACAAGCAAATAGAATGTTTAAAATCTAAATAAAATTCATCCTGTAGAGTCTACATCCTATGTTGTGTCTTCATTTTATCAAACTGGATTCATCATCCTGACACGGTAGCCCAATGAATGTGGAGAGTGACTCACACTTTACAAAAGTCCAAAATCTTATGTTAGTATTTTTTAATTGCATAACATGAGTAGAGTATTATCAGCATTACTAATATGGAACCTATTTTTGTAACACAGTTGGTGAACAATTTTTTCAAATGATCCAACAATGGTCACATTGAGTGTTTAGCTTGATCTTTAATAACATAGTACAGCAGCGAAGCAGTGTAACTTAATGAAGATTTTCCTGCTGGAGTAATGATTTTCCCAGGATCCCTTCTGCAAGAAACCACTCGCTGTTACAGCCTGTGGGGAGAGGGAGCCTGCTGGCGTGTGTCCAGGGCTGCAGGTGCTGCATGAGTCTCTGACTCACACAACAGTACAGAGAGCCTTTCAGGCTCAAGTATTCTATGTTATTATTATTATTATGTGCAGTAACTGTTACATGTTCACAATCAATTAACATTGTGAACATCTCTTTGGCTCCAGGATGCGTTGGGTGTGTGCGTTGGGCCTCTTGTCGGCTCTGCTGCATCTGTCTACCTCCCTGCTGCTGGGAGCCTTCAACATCCAGATATTTGGAGACAAGAAAGCCTCCAATCCGACTCTCATGGACATCATCGCTACGGTCAGGATTGTATTCATTTTTTCGATGCAAGTGCAATGCCACGTCGTAAACAATAAATGAGGTGTAGTAAAAACATTGAATCCTGCCGTGACAAGTGTTCTTTTATGTGAGGACTTAGCGAGGCCGCACTTTATTACTTTGAACAATAACGATGACAGATTGTATAATTTGACCGGAAAAAGAGAGGTTATATGTTCACCTCTTTCAGCTCTATTTGTCTTTGTTTTAGGAGAAGTCCACTACACTAAACTGACCACTCGTATGAGACAGCTCTAAAGAACTCTAATCAGATACGTGTTTGTTTTCTGTTTCTCAGGTCGTCTGTCGCTATGATATCATTTTGATCCAGGAGGTCAGAGACAGCCATCTGACAGTGACCAACAGACTGAAGGACCTTGTCAACAAGTTAGACTAACACACATCTTATATAGTGCTTATATACAAGCTATGGTGGCCTTCTGTGGAAGTTTAGCTGGATGACTCATAAACTCACATCATTATTTAAGACAAACACAATAATGCTTAACATCTGTGTGTCTGTGTGCGTTTTTGCAGAAAGTGTCCTACGTACAACGCCGTTTACAGCGCTCCTCTGGGTACTTACGTGGCGACTAATGAGAGATATGTCTTCCTCTTCAGGTAAACAGAGAGAGGCGAAAACAACTATTTGTCCATATTGTCTCTGTCTCTGAATGATGTGAAACCACAATCTGGAGATTAACTGAAGTAAACATTTATTGTAAGTATTTGTCTCTAAGATGTAGTGGGCGGACATATTTAGTAACAGGAAATGGAAACACTCAAGTACAGATAACTCAAATGTTGATGTGTTTTCCGTTAGTGAGAGATGTGGTAAAGTACTAACTGTCCTCTGCAGGGAACCACAGGTGTCCGTGGTGAAAAGCTACCAATACGAGGGCGCACCCTTCACCCGCCCGCCCTACATCGTCAAGTTCTCCTCCACACACACCGGTAAGCTGAGACTGCTGCAAAGAACAGAGTGATCGAACTCCTCAGTGAGGTAGATCACCTCCCTGCTAGGCGACCAACTGAGAACCAAACACCTGATGTGTGTGAGATCCGCTGGTCAGCAAGGCCCCTCTAGAAAACCCTTCATTTCAGTTGAACGCAGACTGCCATACGGCGCTTAGTCAGCCAAATAGGGCTGGCGACTCGGTCCTGCTATCAATCATATCTGCCACATCCAAAACGCTCAGCTTGTCCTTTGTCTTCTCACATTTCCATCTTCATTAATCCACTTCTTCCTCTTGTTTTATAGCTGTGAAGGAGTTTGTTCTGATCCCCCAGCACACCAAGCCTCAAGATGCTGTGAAGCAAATTGATGCCCTCCGTGACGTGGTGGATGATGCCATCAGCAAAATGAAAACCCAAGTAAATGCTCTCTAGAAAACACACACAGAATCAACTATTTGGTGGATTTATGTAAAAAAACAACAACTGTAGTGCAGACGATAATTAATAAGTTCAAATTCATGAAATGGTTGATGGTTGAAATACTTTCCCCTTTACCTGCAGAACGTTGTGCTTCTGGGCGACTTCAACGCTGGCTGCACCTACGTGACGGGGGATGGCTGGAACCGCATCAGACTCTTCACAGAGAAAAGATTCCACTGGTTGATCGACGACACGCAATTCACTTCAGTGGCGAAAGACTGCCCTTATGACAGGTAGACACACACAGACACACACACACACACACACACACACACACACTCACACACTCTCACTCACACACTCTAATCGTCTTTCTGTACCTGCAGGATTGTGGTCACCGATGTGATGATCCCCAGAGTGACGCCCAACACTGCTCTGGTCTATCGCTACGAGCCGTGACCAGGGTCTCACCAATAAGGAGGTTGTAAATACATCTCTGGCTTTTATTCTTCTAAGTGACAAAACTCACATCAGTCGTAATTTACAAACAGGCCTGATCCATCAGGAGCAGCTCAACGCTCTTTTGTTTCACCGTAGAAATACGAAGTAGAACGGACATAGAACAGCTATGGCCTCCTTCCATCTGAGGGCGGCCCGAAAAACACCGCCTTCGGCGTACGTGTGGTATGAACTCCGTTAGTCCTGAATGCTGTCTTTGTCCCAATACACGGGGACATCACTGCAGGGACAAGTTACAAGTGGAACAGACTCTAAACAAGAGGAGTTGTCAGGAAGGCGTCATTGTGAACACCCGCCCTGTGCAGCCATTTAAGCGCAGAAACACTGAGTTCAGCTTGCACGCCCCCCGTTGATGGTGAAAAAACAGTCCTTCAGTGATGCAAGTGACAGAGGCCACTTTGATGACTTATTGAGTTTAACAGATCCTAATAAACAAACTAGTTTTCGGCCTAACCGAGGGAATCTTGCTGAAGCCGGACATACTAGAAATGGTCCCACGGGGGAAACCTACAACTGAGTTTTCTCTCCATCTCTGACAGGTGTTGGCTGTCAGCGACCATTACCCTGTGGAGGTGGAGCTGAACTAGAGACCTCCAGGTGAATCGACCACGAACCAGTGGGGCACCCGCTGCAACCATGTAGCGTTGAATTGACTTCATCAAAATAAACTCATCATTCCTGCTATTCTACATTTGTTGCGAGTCATTTTTTCCAATGTTTGAAGTCGCTACAACTAAATTCCATTCAGCTCATTATATCAGGTAGCAGCACAGTTTTAAGAGTCATGTATCAAGATCTGAAGATGCCTGCATGTCGGCTTGTGAGCATACTGGACATTTTATTCGATGCTGAATCGAAAAATACCAGTTACTTTAAAGTATTTACATTTAAAACATTTGTTTGTGACGGAATCGATGGATCAAGGTTAATTTGTTGAATAAAGGCACTACATAAATCGAGCGGACAAACGTATCATAAAAAGTGTTCCACTGAGACGCTTTGTGATTATTTCACTGTGCAGAGAACAAATATTCTGAGAACTACTTCTGCTCTTCAATATTTCAGCAATAAAGGATTTTCTACCAAAACAGCAGCCATAAATGGTTTACAAGTCCTCCCGGCCCCCTTTAAGTTTGCGCTGAGGCCCCTGCTGCATCCCTGGGAATATTAATGTAGGGAAATCTCTAAATGTCTTGGTGGACAGCGAGTCTGTGACCTCTCACTGAGACACAAGGTGCTCTGGGGAAGCAGATGTTCAGGATGATTTGTGGATCAGGATATTCTATTTAGTTGTAAACAAAGTGTTCTACAATCTCTCCTACAATCACGGATGACAATGCCATCGCTCTCTTTGATGTGGGGGGAACCACTGGGGCACAGATGTTCGGACCATATTACTCAAAGCCGGAGAAGGAAACCTTTCAGTAGCCTTGACGCGTGACTTGTGTTTCAACTCCTGCTTGCAAGTGTTTAATAAATGTCCTGTTCAATGATTTCTCAGCGGTGTCGATGGTCGACTCAAGCAGTAGTTACCCATCAACCCGGGGAGTGAGAAGCACTTCTGTGTATTACTTTGTGGCATCACAAGGAGCCAGAGGGCCGCTGCATCCCTGCACAGGATTGGTACAAAATGGCCGCCACTGCTGACACTACATTTCCCAGGAGGCCTCAACAATCCCCCAGCTGCAGGTGTTTAGGGCACCTAAATGAGGCTGGGCTGGGGAATATAAACACCAACACCTGGCTGGAAGGGGGGGAAGAGAGCGGACTGGGAACCGGACCTACGTGGAGGATCCAGGAACGAGGAAAAGACTTGAGACGGAAACTCGCTGGATTGAGTCCACTAGAAACCTGTTTTTCTCCCTGGGGAAACTTTTTGTTGGTGATGGACATTTTTGGTTTGAAGAGCTTACTTAAGTTGCCTGTTTTTGTGGGAGAATAAAACGTTACCTTTTTGGTAAACCTTCTAATTTCCCCTGTTTGTTAGCGACTTCCTGTGACGTTACACTATTATAAGTGTGCCACGTTGAATCCGACACATAAAACCAATGAGGGGAAATTTGACTGAAAGTTGACCTGCTTAACCTGAAAACACCCCAATCCCCATGCACAACACACCTCCTCTCTGCACCTCCCCTTCAGCCCTTCCCGGTCACATGCACTTTGCAGGTAAATAAAAAGCTCAGAGAGACACCACCGATCGCTCTGCTCAGAAGAACTTTCATGCAAACAAGCATCTGTGCCTTGTTCACAACAGACCTTCTCCTTCCCCACGACACACAGAAGCAGGTAAATCTTCTTTCACAGTAACATTAATTACTTCCATGCTGTAAACCTGTTTGTTGTTAATCACAATTATTGCAGATCACCCAACACAATGCCCAGGAGCTGCAATGCAGCGTGACGCATTTCTTTAAAAGGCGAAGATGGTCTTTTATGTTTGCAAAAGAACTATTTTACGCAGGATCCCCTCTGCAAAAAGCATTAAACCACTCGCTGTAACATATGCCTGTGGGGAGAGGGAGCCTGCTGGCGTGTGTCCAGGGGTGCAGGTGCTGCATGAGTCTCTGACTCACACAACAGAGCAGAGAGCCTTTCAGGCTCCTCCAGCATAAAGTATTCTATGTTATTATTATTATTATTATGTGCAGTATCTGTTACATGCTCACCGTCCACGAGTCATGAAATCCAGATTCACAATCAATTAACATTGTGAACATCTCTTTGGCTCCAGGATGCGTTGGGTGTGTGCGTTGGGCCTCTTGTCGGCTCTGCTGCATCTGTCTACCTCCCTGCTGCTGGGAGCCTTCAACATCAAGTCATTTGGAGACAAGAAAGCCTCCAATGCGACGCTCATGAACATCATCACTACGGTCGGGACTGTATTTTTTTATTCTTTATGGCCACATTTGAGGTTTATGATTTGAAAGGTGCTCAGTAACTTGTATACCACGATATTTAGCTCCCGTCCATTCTAATATCTTCGCAGCATCAACTACGGATGCAGATTAAAGGTACTCTGATGAGGAAAATGAAATGCACAACTAAAACTCAACCCGGTTTACAATGAATGTTTTTCATTTCTGCTGTCCGAGCCCATATGACCCTAATGACATCACTATGACATCAGAAGGTTAATTTCTTCCTCCAGCGCCACTGAAGACATTAAACGGCTCTTTATGAGAGGTACTGAGAGTCGTGTGTCCCATACGGACCACAATGATCAGCATGAGAAAGAGTTCCGTGTTGTTTTAAAATAGAGAAAAAACATCACGATAAAATTGTTGTGTTGTTATTTAATAACCGCTAACAAATAAAACACTTTGGATATCGAGAGGTGACTTAAATCCTGTCATGACCTGTAAACGTTATTGTGTAGAATTAGTCGAGTAGCCCTTTAATCGTTCTGGGGAAAGAGATGATTTGTTGGTTTAAGTTCTGTTTTTAGGAGCACCATCAACTCATTTAAGACATCGCAGTTCAGAGAACTCCAATCACATGACAAGGACACGTGTTGTTTTGTGTTTCTCAGATTGTCCATCGTTATGACATCATCCTGATCCAGGAGGTCAGAGACAGCGATCTGTCAGCCACCGAAAAACTCATGGAGCACGTCAACAAGTTAGACTGCAGCTTACAAAGCGCACATCATCATTACTATAGTGATCTTTGTTATGATGTAAGATAAAATAAATTAAGATTCAACTGTGTGTGTTTTCACAGAGGTTCGCCCCAGTTCAGGTACAGACACATCGTCAGCGAGCCTCTGGGTCGCAGCTCCTATAAGGAGAGATATCTCTTCCTCTACAGGTAAACACACACGGGCCAAAACTAACGTTCTGTCGTAGGATTTCCTCTTTTGGGATCCAACGTCATTGAACAGAAACAGAAACCATCCTTTGATACCTCCATAAAACTACTATGAAACAGTTTGAACGCTCCACTGCAAGTCAAAATCCCACAAATATCTCACGTATTACCACACAGAATGCAGCAATTCATCAAATGTTATAGGTTTGTATATAATCGTAAAAGAACGTAAACTTGGTCGATGAAAAGAGGTGAATGATTTAGAAACATTTCCAAAAATTTTAGCATTCTGTAAAATTCCTGAATAATTGTAAATATGAAGCCATGACACATCTGCACACCACATCGCCCTTCAGGGTTACGCTGCCCCTTACTGGTCGGCCCTGCAAAGCACAGGACTCCAAAAAAGTAAAGTAGTTTTTTATCGTCAGTGACGGTGTGTAGCATCTTTCCTCTGCAGGGAGCAGACGGTGTCCGTGGCTAAAAACTACACCTACGACGACGGCTGTGAGCCGTGCGGGACCGACGCCTTCAGCCGGGAGCCCTTCGTCGTCATGTTCACCTCCAAACAGACCGGTAGGCCGCGGGGGAGCTTCTTCTCTCGTGTCAATTACCTAGTAAACACCATAGTGTGAGATGCCAACGCTGGCCGGGTTGGAACCCAGGACCTTCTTGCTGTGAGGCGACAGCACCACCCACCACACCATCCTCTCCCACACAAGCTGCTATTGTCCGCCAGAACCCACAACCTCTACTTGTGTCTCCACTCCTTCACTCATTCCCTCCTTCCTCCCTCCTCCTGTTTTATAGCTGTGAGGACCTTTGTTCTGATCCCGCAGCACACGTCCCCAGACTACGCCATGAGGGAAACCGATGCCCTCTACGATGTGGTGGCCGACGTCCGCGCCCGCTGGAACGCCAATGTGAACGCCGTCCTCAAGGAAAACACACGCAGGATCCGTCAAGGATAAAGAGAGCGAAGGATAAATCATCTGTGGTCTCTGCTCCCGCCTGCAGGACATCGTGCTGCTGGGCGACTTCAACGCAGGCTGCAACTACGTGTCTGGCAGCGACTGGCAGCAGATCCGCCTGTTCACGGACAAAGGTTTCCACTGGCTGATCCCCGACGAGGCCGACACGACAGTGTCACACACTAACTGCCCTTATGACAGGTGGAACACACACTTGATCTCTCTCACACACACACACACACACACACACGTAAAGCCTCCTAATTCCAACCATCTCCCTGTACTTGCAGGATTGTGGTCACTGCCGACATGATGAGGGGAGTGGTGCCCGGCAGCGCCAAGGTCTACGACTTCATGGCGGACTTGAATCTCAGCCACAGTCTGGTGAAGTCGACTTTATTTTTAATTCTCCTCTTTAGAGTCCCAAATGGTTGCAGTAGAGTAAAAAAAAAGGGGCCTTGTTAGTCCTGAACTTGCAGGTGGCACGGTGCTGTGGCGGTTAGCACCGTCGCCTCACAACAAAAAGGTCTTGGGGTCAAACCCCCCCATCGCCTACTAGGTGGAGAGTTTGCGTGTACTCCCTGTGTCTGCGTGGGTTCCCTCCGGGGGCCTGATGTCCTTCCACAGTCCAAAGACATGCAGGATAGGTTGAAAAGAAGTCAAAATAAACTGTTCCAAAAGTTAACCTGAATCCTTCCAGAGGGAACGACTCTGTACCTCTAAAGGTAATATTAAATATATCGTTACCGTATATAAAGAATCCACCCTAAACCAGCCCTGTATGTAGTCCTTCAGGGAAGTGTGTGAAAAGGGAATATTTTCATGAGCTTTTAAGTTTTACGGAACATAACAAACGCATGTTGCACATGAAAAATGTCTGTTTTCTGTTCAACCAAGACAATTTTCTGTGCGCTTCAGCTGGACCTACTAGAAGTTGTGCCAAAAGGTAAACCTGCTGTTTTCTGTCGATCCCTCTCAGGCGTTGGCTGTCAGCGACCATTTCCCTGTGCAGGTGGAGCTGATTGGCCGAACTGCTGCTGCCGCCTGAATCCCGACTCCCCAAAGTCCTGCAGAAACCTCCAGGCTGAATCAGTCATGCCAGATCAGTGGAGGAGCTTTGAAATCAACAAGCATTGAATTTACGAGACCAAAATAAACACATGATTTCTGCTACTTTATTATTGAAGCGGTCATTTAAAAAAAAAGCAGCAACAGAAAGTCAACGCACCTCTTTAGTATCAAGCCGAAGGTAAAGAAGCATTAAGCATTAGTAGTAGAAAGACTGTCTGAAATGCCTCCAACCGGTATTTCATAATGTCACAATGGACGATCATTTTCTTGAACGCAGTGCACTGCCAAAACCAAAAAAAAGAATTTTCATTTTACTTATCTTTATCTTTAATCACACAAATAATTTCTATGACCATTAAAAAAAAAATCATTGTTTTCGGAAATTTACAGGATAAAAAAAATGTTATGTAGATAAATCTGTCAGAGGTTTTGCCCACTGTGGGCTGTCAAAAAGCCCCCATGGTTACTTTAGTTAGTTGTGGTTCAGTGCAGTGATGCTACGCCCTGAGTGGAGCCCGGGCGGTGCTGATAACAGCTTAGCGACAGTGACACAGCATGGTGGTTGGTAGAAGTTTGGGATTTATTCACACTGTATCAGTGGTACTTTAGCTATAAAAATAAACAACATGGATTTGTGTTTTACTGCTTTGTCATAAACCCCGACTAACACGGCACTCGCTTAATGATAACATCTCAAAACACACAAACGTTTCACTGTAAATTGGAGCCTTTTTGATGTTACTTTGAAGACATTTGGAGAAAACATTTGTCACAGACGCATTGGTGTCAATCACGGGTTGATTTATTGTAATTGTACAAAACAGGGTTGCAGTTGTATTTCCCTCTGTGGTACATATGAGTCAAACTAAAACACGTATGGTGACGGCTGTTCCACGGGCTGCAGGAGGGAGCTGCACTAAACAATCTCAGCACCGATGAACATGCGACACACGAAGGCAGATGCGTTTCTCAACTAGTGTCACTAACTCCCCCAAAACGCGCGACTCATCCTACAAGTTGCCCCTCTCATCGGGTTCTCTTTTTAAGCATCTCCATGTACATGCCCAGCGACTTCTGAATGGAGTCTTTGGTGATGAAGTCGACAAAGTGTTGGATGTCGGCCTCCCTGTTGGACGCCAGCTTGTCGATGGTTGGCTTCCTCATCATGGACTTGGTGATGGCTCTGGCGTGGTCTGTGAAGTGGACAGATCACCCATTAGCTGGCCAATTCCAAAAGTGGAGTCTTATTTGTCCCACCCCCCCCTACATTCATAGGGGCGTCGATAAGTAGTAACAACATCCATAGTCTTACATATGATCACACACTCACAAGCGGAAAAGAAATGATAAAAAAATGTGGCTGGAGAAGTTGACTGAGGATGCACGAAAGGGGCCATTGTACCTGGAATAGCCAGCCACTTGGTCATGTTCTGCTTGGCCGTGGTGAGGACCTGGTCTTCGGGTACCAGCTGGTCCACCAGTCCTATCTTCAGGGCCTCTGACGGGTTGTAGAGGAGCCCCAACTGAAGAGCTACCTCTGTGTTTCTGTGGCCCACTGTGTTCGTCATGGTGTCCTTAAACCTGCAGACATCAGCAGCTTTTGTTGATCGCTAATCAGTCAAGCCGTGTAGCAGTTACCGTAACTTACCGTTTTTGCCAATGAAGGTTTGCGTAGTTTTGCCAGCTTTAGCAGATAAATCTGCCGTTTCTGGTGGAAGTGGATTTAATGAGGAGGACATGCTCGTTGATGATGCGCAGAGTGAGTCGCTGTTGCCATGCTAATTATTCCTTACCAAAAAGGAGCTACGATGCCCAGTTGAGTCTCATTGAGGCCGATGCTGAAACGCGGGTTGTCCGCCATAATCCTGTAGTCACACGTCAGAGACATGAGACAGCCGCCTGCAGGACTGGAACCCTGCAGAGGGAGTGACAGGGTTGGCTATGGGGGAAATGTGCCAGATATTTGATTCACCAATTTCCTGCTGACGGTGGTGTTGGCGTACATTGATCGCAGCTATGGTGATCATGTTGGAGCCGTAGAGCTTCAGCCACATCTCCTGGACGGCTCTCCAGAACTCTCCACAGCGCTCGGGACTCTTCCCGTACATCTCTGTGATGTCCAGTCCGGCTGAGAACACCTTAGGTTGGCTCTGGATTGAAACAACATACACACACACAAACACATGAATACACACTCAGGGCAAACCGTCCAATTGTGGTGCAATATTTTAAAATTGTCAAACACCAGCATCCAAAATGTTAGCGACACAGATAGAATAACATTCTAAAACATAAAAGAGGATTAAACCAGGAAGCATTAATTTAATGATCATTTGTTATTAACCATCCAGTGATATAAAAACAGAGCACAGCGTCTTTGCCGCTGTCTTAAAGGACGGAGTCGGACTGTACCGAGGTGACGATGAGGCCTCGGCAGCTCTTATCCATCTCCAGCTTCTCCACACTGATGCAGAGCTCCGTGAGGAAATCTAAACTCAGGCTGTTGACCGGCGGACTCTGCAGGCTCATCACAGCCACACCTGCAGAGAGAGAGGTGGTGTCCGTTTATTTTTGACGTAAAATTTGATGCAAATTCACGTCAAAAGGGCAAAGAAATGATGACATGGAACGTTAAGTGTTTATTGTCAGCAAAAATTTCCATTTCCCTGTCACATTTAAACTGCTGTAGGATGGTGGGCAGCAGACATTAACAGCTTCGACTCGTGGAAACGTGCAGAAGATGGACTGGTCTGTTTACCCGTGCTTTGGTCGAAATTCACGTCTATTTTAGGCGAGGTGGAGTTGTTCCTCCGCTGAGCAGCGAGGACGGGAGACACACAAACTCTGCCATGACCGCTGCAGGAGGATCGCTGGGAAAGAAGACCTGCACATGCGCACGCACACACACACACACACACACACACACACACACACACACACACACACAGCGTGGAGAGAAATATCCGTTACATGTAGTTATCTACATATTCATTAGATCACATATGCATTCTTTTAGCACTTAGAAAATAATATTACATAGGAATTATATACAGTATTCTTATGTACTAATTGTTGATGATGAAGTTTCTTCTGAATATAAAACCACATTTAAGGGCAAAGGTCAGCCCGAGGGGACGTGATTAGTAACATCACTAATTTCAGTATAAAACACAGCTAGAACTACAGCTGCTCTTTATGCGTTTAGCATGCAGTGACGGTGACAGCTGAACTATCGCGTGTTGCTCCAGGGTCAAACAGGTACGCGTTATGACGTAGGGATGCGGGGGGGGCAGATGGCCTCTTTTCATGCCGCGTCCTGTGACCTTTGCTCCAGTTGCAGTGGACCACAGTTCGCGATGCTAAAGGAAGCTCAACACGTCTGACACCGCCAGCGTTAGTTTGCTGCGTGCGTGCGCGCGTGCGCGTTTAGACGTGACGTTACCTGAGAAAACGCACTTGCTCCTGAACGCGGCTCGCAGGGCCATCGCGTCTCGGTGGCTCTGGTTCGGTTCTGGGTCAAAGACGGCAGGGAGAGACTTCCGGCTCCTTCTTCTTCTTCGTGGGCTTTAATGGTGGATCGTTGCTTGGAGACGCGCAGTCGCCACCTGCAGTGCCGGAAGCTGCATTGCGATGAAACGATAGTACCGATGATTCAAGAAGAATCAACACTATATTTCTGCATAAGTTCTTATCTCCTCTATATGGTCAAACTCTACTGTGCTGCTCCTCTTCTGCTGTTACCTGTTACTATACCAACGTTTATGAGCACAATGTGCCACAGTTACTTTCCTCATACTCAGATTCTTTTTGTAGCATTTCATCATATCATACTTTTAAAGCTTCCATATTGTGAAAAGCAACACTTTAATGTTTTCTTTACCATGAGGCAGGTCCAAGTTCCATTTAAATATTGTGAAAGTATCTAAACGGTCGATCCATGGAGAAATACGCACCGCTGCGACGGGCCGACAGGATTTTCATACTAATGAGAATTCAAAAACAATTGTGTTTTTCATTTTTCGGGAATGAGTACATCAGGTCCAAAAACAATCCAACGCAATTCCGGACTAAGAAACGGACTAAAATGTAGTGTTTTCGATGGCGGGTGAATACCGGTACATTCAGACAGACAATATTACTTTTTTTCAAAGCATTTATACGTTGTAGTAGATACCCAATATGGTATCATGGTACCACAGGAATAAAGGCAGGACCTTTCATTGTAATGCTGTATTGTTATATTGCTGCGTTGCTACTTTCCCAAAGGTAACAGGGCTGAATACTTCCCCCACGAGCCCTTGATGTTACACAGTGTATATTAAAGAGCTAATGAACTAATGCATACCATAGAACGTGTATGGTATGCAAATTGTTTGACAAGTTAATAACACAATGAAAAGGTCTTTTACAGCCACTTAAACCTGCCTGTTGGTGAACATTTCTTCCAATAAAGTTGCATAACGTGAAATGGCTTAAGTGCACAGGAGAGAGCAGGTGGTAGAAGATGAGACAGAAAGGAGAGAGAGAGGGGGGAGAGAGGAGAGAGAGGGTGAGTGAGGGGAGAGATAGATGTTCGTCTTGAAGTCCCAGCAAAGCACAAGTGCGTGATAGCAGCAGAGAGACACAGCGCACAGCCAGGCTCCTCTCAGTCAGTGAGTAACTTACTTTATCTTACGTGAAAGTTCCAAGTGTTTTGTTTGTGTTCTTTTCACAACTGTGAATGGTAATGACAGTTTTGGTTGGTTGTCAAACAACATTTTTCTAAATGGTCCGCTTGCATGGATCATGATGGTTTCAGCGATAAAATAATAACAAAAGTAGGAATTGAATTGTAAATCTCTCATGATTGAACCATAACTCTGTTGATTAAGGATGCGTTCTCTCATGTGTGTACAGACGTTCTTCTGGTTCACATTGAACAGATTTGGAACTCATAAGGAACATTAACATTACACTAAGAGTGGCATTTAGTGTTGATTTGTGCACATGTGTGTTACCTCATGTGTGTAAAGCACAAAGTATGAGACACATTTGTATGTGTCATCGCTTGTTAATGTGATCACATGTTCTTTTTCTTTTGTCCAGACTGCCCTTCAGTGTGAGCTGCTGTCGAGCGACATAGGAAATCCATCAGTGTGCGTCACTTCTGCGTCCTGTAGCCTGGGGGACACACACCTCTCCCCCGCTGCTTTCTCCGCACTGTTCTACCCCACCCTGTGCGATCATGGATCTTGTGGAGTGGAGAAACATGGGCAGTGGCTGCGAAAATGAAAACTGTAGCCACGGATCTGGCTTCCCCGAGGACTGCTTGGACCAAGACTGCCACTCGGAGGAACCGCTGTTCGGATTGATTGAGTTAGGTGGGTAATGAAAAAAAGTCAAACTCAAATACAAGTGCTGATTTATGCGGGCAATAAAACACAAAATACAATCAACAAAGAAAAACAAATGGCCGTATAAAAAAGGAACTTAAATGTGCTTTGAGTAAGTGCAGTTAACCGCCAACAAGAGATGTCTTTGACCATGCAGCTAAAACTCGCCACCCAAATTATTATGCAGTTTGCTGCTCAGAATGCAAGATTTGCATTGAAGGACAGACACAGAGATGCACATTCAGTCACAATCGCATCATTTTCATGGTGGAGATAAAAGAAATAAATTAGATTACAAAGTGGGGAAGAAATAAGAACTCTGGTATCCCCTTTGACTTTGATCTTGCTTTATTTAAGTATACTGTTGTGTCAGTCCAATTAAAAACCTCATTGAATCTTATTGTCCGTTTCCTTTGATATTCCAAAAAAAGGAGGATACCCGAAGCCGGTTAGCTTAGCTTAACATTAAAGGTTCTAAAAAATGTATTTTTTAAATATTTATGCAACGTTAAAAAAGCCTCACACATTTCTAGTGGTTTTAGAACTTGTCTGAAGCTAGAAGCTTGGATAACAGCTGGAATGAATTTCCCCATAATGTCAACATATTCCGTTAAATGTTCCACTGGCTAGCTGTCCTAGTCTTTCAAATGTTGCATGTTACATGTTTTATTTTATTTTACATTCTCACAACGTGTGGACTAAGAGTGGTTCTGATAAAATATATCGATATCTCCTATTCTAGTGTGTGTGACTGTCATTTACGTTCCACTGATGCTCTTTGGCCTTCTGGGAAACATACTGACAATTCTGGTGGTTTGGCTCCGCCCTCACATGAGAAGCTCTACCTACCTCTACCTGAGCAGCATGGCTGTCAGTGACCTGTTGATTCTCCTACTGCTGCCTCTGGATCTGTATAAGGTACTCACACACACACACACACACACACACACACGCAAGGTGTACCTTTGTTCATGCATGTTGTGGTGATGAGGTCGGACCAGATACAGATGTTTTGCTGAAGATGCAAGCAGAAATGGCTGAAAGGGGGATGATGGATTTTCTTACTTTGGGAAATTGTGTTCTAATGGCGATTTAATGAACAACAACCTGTGACCTTCCCCTCAATGCCGCAACCCAGCGGCTATCGGCCTGAGAGCGATTTAGCCCCGAGGGGCAACTGCGGATGTATAAAGACCACAGTTGGCCGCAGTTTTACCAGTGACGCATGAAGCCCAGCGGGCCACGTGTGCCTTTAGGTGCACGTTTGTGCGAGTGAGTGCGTTCCTCGTGGCCACCGCTATTCAAAGGTAATTCTTACTTTAGAAAAAAATAATTTCTAAAGGTTGCTAATAGATTATTCACAGAAGAGAGAATGCCTCCTTGATGTTAAAACCCCAAACAGTAAAAACGGCAACAGTGTTGCCGGAGCGAACGGTGCAGAAATATTGTCCCATTGCAGACAGATTCTGTATTTAAGAGCAGGAATTTGTATTTGGGTTGAAGTTACAAGATGAATGACCATTAAGAATAAGAAGCCCAGAACCAGCTGCAACACTTAAACGCCTAAAGCGTCTATTCTAAAAACAATTTAGCATAATTCTTGCAGTGTTCGGTCAGTCGGAGCTTTGATTTACCACAATGAGACAGAGGAAGCATTTTGAGTGTTTCAGAGAGCGGACAACCTCATCGCTGCTAGTGGGGTGCAAAAAAGTGCATCATTCCGATTGCCAAGATCAACTAGGCAAGCTGGTTTGAGCGGCTACTTCTAACGCACGGAGCGCTTCCATGTGCTTAGCACTGCCAGTTCAGTATTGACCACGTGTTCACTGTCAGTCCCACCTTTGTGGAGATTGTCACTAATGTTATTTCTTTGGTTGACGAACATCTTGTTGTCAAGCATAACGATTCTTAGACGTTCTAACTACAAATGAAGCGGTCAAAAACATTGGCGCCAGGGTAAAATAATCGCTGTGTCTCTTCCAGCTCTGGAGGCCCAGACCGTGGCCCTTAGGGGACCTTGCCTGCAAGCTAACGATGTTCCTCTCAGAGTGCTGCACCTTCTGCACCATCCTCCACATCACCTTCCTCTCCCTGGAGAGGTACCTGGCGGTCTGCTGGCCAATCACGGCAAAGACCGTGCTGACGCGGCGCAGAACCAGGGCTCTCATCGGCTGCCTGTGGCTGGGCGCAGCCGTGAGCGCGGCACCGGTGCTGGTCATGGTTGGAGTGGAGGATGTTGGAGGAGAGGAACTCGAGCTCGGGGGATGGAGGGAGGATGGAGGTTGGGCGAGCAGTGAAGTGGAACAGGGAGGGTATACGACAGGTGGAGGCGAAGGAGGAAGTGGGCACAACGGAAGATTGGAGGAAAAAGAGTGGGGAGAAAAAACGAAGGAATGGGCTAAAGGGGTCGGAGAGTCGAAATGGTTTGGAGAGAAAGGGGAGAGAAAAGCCGCAACAGAAGGAAGCGGCAAAGAGACTCAAGGAGATGGAGGAAAAAGAGAATTTGAGGATCGAGCCAATGAAGGGGGAGGGGAAGAAGATTCGGAGACGGAAGTTGAGGGAGAGAGGCAAAATAAGATGAGGGAGGATGAGGGAGGAGGACAGGAAGGTGGCGCTGACGGTGGGGGCGAGGTTGACAATAGAGAGTGCCGCTGCACGCAGTTCGCCGTCTCCTCCGGCCTGCTGTCAGCCATGATGGTTCTCTCCAACTTGTACTTCCTGGTTCCCCTCTGCACCCTGGGTCTCGTCTACAGCCTGATCGGACGGACGCTGTGCCTCCGTCCCCAAAGCAGCCGCAGAGACCAGAGTCACCGGCACACGGTCAAGATGTTGGGTGAGAAACACACAGCCTCAAACGCTGCTTTCAGCAACAATCCAAAACAGTAGCACCTGTTTTCCCACCGCCAGGTAGGAATGATTCTAACGACTCCCCTCGGTGTCTCCACCTCCCCAGGAGTGATCGTCTTGGCGTTTGTCCTGTGCTGGCTGCCCTTCCACGTGGGTCGCACCATCTTCTCTCTTTCAATGGGCACGGACTCTGACGCACAGGACGGTCACACGGACACAGACGTGCACGCTGACATCGACGGCCTCACGGACGCAGATACCAACTTTAGCCACTTGGACTCGCACGCGCCCTTCGAGACACACCCGGGTAGATTCACACACATGGGAGACGCAAACACCACGCGCGTGCAAAGCGGGACGCCAGCACGCGCACACTCACAGAACGACACTCCCGATCACACGCCTCCCGCCGTGCGCGCACACACCGCGACCCCGACCGGCCCGTACGACGGAGACGACGCGCGCAAATACGCGCGCAATGACACGCGCTCTGCCGGTCCGCACAATCAGCCTGACACGCACTCCTATTTTTTATACTATCTGTCCCAGTATTTCAACCTGGTTTCCTCCGTCCTCTTCTTCCTCAGTGCTGCTGTCAACCCGTTACTGTACAACCTGATGTCCGCCAAGTATCGGAACGCCGTGCGCAGCCTGGCGCGCGCGGACACGCAGTCGCGCCGCCTGCGCACGCTCACGTCGCAGCCCTCCACGACTACTTTGTGAGGGGGCAACAGTGCGCGCGCACACACACGCACATTCGTACTCGTGCGATGGCCCTGACCTCAGTTTAACATGTATTTAAAAGATTGTTCTCAATTAGGTGTCGCTTAGGAAAAATGTATTTTTATACGTTTGATGATGTTGTATTGATGTTTTAATTAATTTAAGGTAAGGTAATATGCACTTATTTTAGAAATAAAACGATATTTATATATAGATATATATTATTTTTATTTTATTTTCCAACTTAACTGTCCTTTTGTTGATTTGTGTCTCTGTCTGTGGTGTACTAAATAGGATCAGGAACAAACACGTCACTGCTCATTGACATCGTCTGTCTTCATGTGTGAAGAGGGCTAACTCCCTTTGAGAATGTGGACCTTTCAAAGTAAATGATGCACTTTATACACATTTTACAGAGGACAAACTGTAGGCATATTCTAAGGTGCGGTGACAGCAGCCAGATACTTTGCACCCCCCCCCCCCCCCACACACACACACAGACACCCACCCACACAAACATAGAATAGGGCTATCATTTTGATTCATAGGTTCATACAAGCTGATGTGTTTTGGCGTAATATAAATTCCATTAACGTGTTCAGATACTGATATAAATGCCTATTTGATTCACACTCGAGGTGTTATCACCTCCGCGGAGGAGGTTATGTTGGTTACATTAGTCGCGCTTTTGTCAGAAGGAAACACCGAATGGATTTCCTGAAGTTGGCTGGACAGATTGTCCCTGGGGCTGAAGGACAATTGATTTGATTGTGTCGGTAACCCTGGCCATTTGTGCCATGAATTCATGTCTTTTATAAGAATGCATGTACGTATTTAGCTATATATATATATATATATATATTTGAAAAATGTATAAGAAAAATGTAGTCATTTCTTTTCTAGTCTCTCACATGTAGTGTAAAATGCCGAAAAAAGGATGTGCTGAATCTAATGTTTTGCTTGTGTTTGACATGTAAGGCCTCCCCCAGCATCAATAAAGTCATATCTTAAGTAGTGTTTCATATAAGACACACAGCTGTTTCTGTGCTTTCTGGCTCAATTACTTGCGTAATCATAGTGATATCTGTTATTCTGTCAAAGTACACTGAGCACATTGAAAGAGATTGTTGCATCATCATGATTTGGTTACAGCCTGATGACGTATCGATGTCTCACTTATTCACTGTAATAATTACCTTGATTATTCTTGTAAACTGCATGAGGGCTTTTACTTCAAAATATCACATTTTTCTGAATGTTAGTGATGATGTATCCTCATTTTGATAAGTAAATCCGATTATTTATACCCAGTCATGTTAACTAAACTGGTGATTGTAAAACGTGGCACAGCAAAGTAAAATCCACTTGGATAATACCAGGGAAACTGGAAACCTTGCATGCACTCTGGGCGACGTCAGGGGCGACACGACGAGAGAGAAGAAGTCTGGAAAGGACTAAGGAGGTTAATAGAGGAGAGACTTCATGAACGGCCATTGAGGAAAGTTAACGTCATTCTGTGAATTAACGTTGAATACACTTTATCAAACATTTGATCATATTTAAACTTATGTTTCTGTCATCAGCATTGAACTGGTCCCTTAAGCCTCTATCTAACTCAATAATGTTTTAGGTTCCCCTGGTTATTGTAATTATGTGATAATTGAATAGTTGATATTGAATATATTTTGTTTGTAATAATGTATATGTAATAACTTTGTAATAACTTACTTACCTTTTAGTCTTTATCCTCATATTATTAGATTAATCAAAAGTAACCTGATCACTCAACTGGTATTTAACCAAAATCACTCTGTGAGCATCTTTATTCTTTTTCATTACTGTGTCTATAGATTATCAATTGGCAACTTCAACCTTGCTCCATATTGAGAAATTGAGGAAAATATCTGTAGTTTTTTTAGGCAGGATGTCACCAAAGGTGCTATCAAAGAGGACTGTGCTCCACATGTCATGAAGATCTTTATCATCCATGGAAATGCAGCACAGGAAGGACAATGTCCTTTGACAAAGTGCTCATCGTCGGAGGGAAAAGAGGCTCTTGATGACTGCAAAGGTGCTCAAAGGTGAGATGTGCGGTTGAAGGGTTTCAGAAGCTCCTTCTTCAGTTTGATGTCCTGAAGAAGTCTGGGCCTCGCACAAAAAACCTCTAGAATACAGGTTTTTTTCCAGCAGTACCTGTCGTATTCAAATTAAAAATGTTCTTCAAAGTAGGGAAATATTTTGAATTATGGTGGCTGCAATAATTCTTATTCCTAAACCGTGAATGGTTTGGTTTCCCTTTTAAAAAACACTAAAAACAAGGGATGTGTTAGTAATTCAAGTGTGTTTATTGATAGGACTTTACACATTTACATTTCATTGAACATTTTATCTATTTAATTATATCCTCACAGGTTTTGAAAATTGAGTATTGTATTGGCAGCAGCGGTTGAGACATGTTTTGTTTGGCAATGCAAACAATGTTATTTACTGTATGTTGGGATGTGTGTTTGTCTGTCACTAACACTTTTGCCAAAGTCAGCAGTTGCCAGGTGAAGTTTGAAATAAGCTGTTTTGTAAGTCTTACGTTAAGACAATGGTAAGTAAACGTAACTCGAGATTTCTTGAGTAAAAATGAGAAAGTCAGACGGAAATAGTCATTGCAAAGTGACATTAAAGGCAGGATAAACCAGCATGGCGACGTGAAGAAGAGGACGGCAGATGTGTGTTCAAACTGCCATAATAAAACGTATCCACTTATCTACCAAGTATCATTGGACCCATTTTTACAAAGAACAGTAAGAACCTTTTGTTAAATGACCTCTCATCGAGGAAAGAGGCTGGATTGGATCAGAAAGCCAAGAGTTAACAACGTATTCACAGTGTGTGTGGCGAGCAACACTAGCTCCAAAAGTCACCAAATCAAAGTATTTCTTTTGGCAGTTACGTGGTTTTGAAGCCTCCAGTTTAGCATTTTTAAAATCGGTATCTTGTGTTTTTTTGCAACAGTGACCATATTTGGACTTCAGATGATTGACACAATGCGACGCCGTATGCAGCTCTGGTAGAAACCCGTCAGTCACAACGTAGCTCCTCCTAACAGCTGTGTTGAAAAAGACTTGACAAGCGATTAAGACCAAAAATCTGTGTTCACAGTGTTTGTTGAGGTAATTAATCAAGTGAGAAGTAGAGCCTTTGTCTCTTGACTTCCGAACAATCGGCCTTCTTCCAAGTAGAGATTCCACTTTCTGCCCCTTGGAAAGAATGTAAGTTCATGTCACTTAGGCATCGGTTGGACTTGTCAGGCCTGGAGGTTGTGGCCTGCTTGTCACCCTGGCATATTCCCTCAATTCTCTACGTCCACATCATCGTCCACTGGGAGCGTCTGACCGACCCATCAGGACACGACTTACCGCGTTGACCCTCTGCTCCGTGCCCATGGCCAGTTCACTGCGCAGTGATTTTCTTCCCCTAGTGAAGAGTTGCAATCAGGCATGGAGAATTACTCACAATAACATTTCCCCCAAATAATCACCAGAGGTCAGTAGACTACTGTCTGCAGCACTGCAAGTCGATTACCGAAATACATCTGCACGTTACGGAAACAGAGCAGAAGTAGTGTCCTGCTGTATATTCCACCAAAGCTCAGTTTTAGATCTGACAGGTCTGGCTGAAGCTCCGCTGAATTTATTTTAACGGAGGGAGACAGAGTTTATTAAAACCTTTTTAAATTTTTGAAACCTTTTTAAATTATACAATTATATAATTTTGACAACTAATCAATTACGCACTAGTGCACAAATATCTCCCTTATTTACTTATGCTATTAATCCGTCTAACTGAATTTTCATTCAATTCAGAAGGGGGATTTTTATAATATTTGGTTTGGCTTTGGCTTTTTTTGTACTGCTCTGCGGTGCATGACTCTGCTGTTTCTCTGACAATTCTTATGTAAAATCATCACAATCATTATTACATTACAGGTCATTTAGCTGACGCTTTTATCCAAAGCGACTTACATTACACTTTAAACCCAAGGCTTTTACATTTTGCCCAGGGAGCAACTAGGGGTTAGGTGTCTTGCTCAGGGATACTTTGTCTTGAGACATGGGGCAGCCGGGACTCAAACCACCAACCTTGCGGTTCCCAGCGCACCCGCTCTACCCCCTGCGCCACGACGACCCTAATCATCATCATTCAGAATGACGCACCTGTCAATCTGCTTAATTCATGTCGTGCATCCACCCGTACAGGTGGATGTGAATAAAGCAGCGTGCTCAATTAGCTTCGTGATGCATAGCGTCTTCGTTTGAAAAGGGCCGTATATGTGATGTCTCAGTAGTGTTTGTGACTAGCAGGTGCACTGAATGAACTGATTAGGTGAGTGACAGGTGGAGGAGACAGGGTAGAAAGTGACGGAGCTGTGGCGAGGCTTATTTCTTTAATTTTCATCCTAAAACGATCTGTACTGGTAGTAATTTACCACTAAACGACGTCGGGGGATTTCACAAACACCGTCATCACCTGTGTGTCAGCACTGCACGAGCACTAGGAGGAGGAGGAGGAGGAAGGAGCGCGGCTTGTGGGCGCCGCGGAGCAGTTCGGTGAAATTCTCACAAGAACTCAAATAAATGCCTCGTCGATCGTCAAAACACATTTGGGGGGATTTGATGACAGTGCGAGTAATAGTTATTCTAAAATTTTGATGAATGAAGAAACAATTGTGCTCCAGCAGAAGGGGCACTTTTCTCATCTAGGGCTTAAACAGCCCTAGACTACACCATGCCCAGCTGTTTTGGTGACGAATGAGAGTTAAATAGGTATTGTTCGTTGAATTTGAGCTATTCCAAACCTTTAGTTGATTTGACCACTCTCATGTAGGATTATGTACCGAGCACCGGTGCCATATTGGTGAAATGAAATGACAAAAATGACACAAATGACTATATGAACATCTATTTATTGAACTTTAACAAAACTGAAAAGTGCAAATGTAAAACAAATCTTTTTTGTGGGATTTAGTCCAGCGCTTCTTTAATGTGTCTTGTCCACATATTGAAGCAATAATGATAACAAATAAACAAATAATAAATAGTAAATGCTTTATATAGCCGCATATTAAAATAAGAAAAGCTTCCCACGGCCGAGGCGAAAACATATACATACGTATTTTCTTTTAGTTCGTCCGTAAACTTACATTTACGTTTCGGCATGGCTGCAGATGTGCTGTAAACAATGCGACTAGTGGAGGCGGCAAAGTGCTCAGTGTTGCCAGATTGTAAATGGTGAAGTATCGTACCAAAGGCTCAAAATGGTCGTATTTGGAGGATAATTATCGTGTATCCGGCAACATTGAGATCGGTTGACCAATATCTGTTCTCTCTACAGTCAGAGCTCGCGAAATAAGGTGGAACGTAAGGGAGACACCATTTACAAAACTTGTAAGGGCGTAATAACTAGTTTGTGAAAGACCCAGAGAAACACAAATATACGACGAAACAAAATCCCGGACGTTTTTGGAATCTCTGCCGGACGCATTTTTTAGGTCTCAAAAAGAGGACATGTCCGGGGAAAAGAGGACGTTTGGTCCCCCTACTTAAACAGTCTGATAACTCTGTCCTCGCAGCAGCTAACGATGGCTCACCGCTTGTGTAGCTACAGCAGCTAGCTAGCCATCTACCTTCTATTCGTATTTATTTCTCTACACAATAGAAAAGCGATGCGCTCTCGTGCCTCCTGCAGCTCTTCTGTGTTGCACGTCAATACTTTGAGACAAACAAGGAGCGTCAATCTAACGTAAATGCTTTTCAATAAATGTCTTTAGTTCCTGCACAATGAACATGAATCTCAAATTAAATGATTAATATTCCCCAAATTCCAATTAACTACACTTCCGCTGTTACAGAGGGGAAACACTGTAATCATACTGTAAACTTTCAAAAGTTCATATATTGTGCATAGTTTGAAGTGAAAAAGAACTTTTCTTCAATTGTGTTTGGTTTCAGGCTCTGTTTAGGATCGGTATCGGAAAAACCC